ATTATGGGTTGTTGATGATTGTGCTGTTGATTTTATGTGTGTTTTTTGTTGATAACCTGGTAAATAATTAATATCAAAAATATCAACAATAATCTGACTATTAGGATCAAGAGTTAATTCACCACAAACAAGTAAATGTGAATTTTCATTCAGATTATTTGTTTTACACTGGTCAAAAATTTATAAACACTATATCTATTGGGTACCTGATAAGTGTAAGAGTAATATACATGTTCATACACTTATCAGATATCCAATAGGTATATCAGGTACCTGATAGGTGTAAAAAATATTTTACTACACTTATCAAGTACCTGATATACCTATCAGGTTTCTGATAAGTGTATGAACATGTGTATTACTCTTACACCTATCAGGTATCTGATAGGTGTAATATTTTAAATTTTTGACCTGTGTTATTATGCAACTTTAATCAGTGCTTAGAAATTAATAATTTATTTGATATTCCTTATCCTCTGCACCTTTTATCCACTTTTCATTTTAATTTCAATATAATTTTTAATAACATACCAGTTAGATAGATATTTAATATACTTATGTGTAAATTTCCAGTTAAAATTTTAGTTGACTTTGCTAAAACAATAATTATCTATAATTTAATAACAAATTAATTATTATAATGACTAAAATAATTATATAAAAATGCAAAAAACTTACTTTTATTTTATTGGTTTTTGAAAATTTAGTTAAATTAACTTTTTCAGATATTTCATAAATCATGTCTTTTTTTATTTCATCAATAAATGAAGGTATTGATAAATTTTTGTTATAAAATGAAGTTAAATAGAGAATAAAAGTGTTATCTTTATTATTACTGTTTTTTTTCAACTCTTGAAGTGGTATTAGCTTCAATAACTATGAAATTATTTGTTTTTTTAGTGCTAACAATTGAATCAATTAAACAAATAGTAGTCAATTTAAATGGCATATTTTAGAAGAAAAAAGGTTTATTGAAAATAAATAATATTTTAAACATATAAATATTTTTTAAAGGACTTAATTAACTAATAGTTTTTTTTATTTTTTTTTTGTTTTTTAGTATTTTTTAATCTCAATTAAAAATCAAATATATTTATGTTTTAATAAAGTTTATTTATTTCTTTTTTTTCGATAAAAAATAAAATTTTTTAAACATCAAGAAATATGAAATTTTTACATATACAAATGATCTTTAATCTAGAAGACTACAAACTAATTTATATATTTTATTATTTAATTTCCTGAAATAAAATGATTTGTTTTACTGTTTTAGAAAGAAATAAATAATTAAAATACAAATCATAATTTCTTTAAGAAATTTTTAAGAAATAAATAATAATTTTCTTAAATAATTTATTTATTTGTCTATTTTTTTAAAAAAAATTTTAAGAAAATAAATAATAATTCTTTTAAATAATTTATTTATTTGTTTATTTATTTTTAGTACAATTAAGTTTCAAGATAATAATTTCACATGATTTTTTTTAGTGAATAAATAATTTATCTTCAAAAATAATTAGTAAATCTGTTTATTTGTTTTTTACAATTTCAATGATTATTTTTTTTTAGAAATTAGAAAAAAGTGAATAGTAATAATAAATTCTTAAAATAAAAAAAATCAGGTTTGATGATCTATTCTTTTTAGTTAGAAATTTTCCAAAAATAGATAACAATATTAATTTTGATAATCTATTTTTTTTAGAAATTTTTAACTTTTGTTATCTATTTGTTTTATTTTGTATAAAATATTTAGAAATTAGAAAAAGTGAATAATAATTTCTTAAAATAAAAAAAAAATTTTTTTTTTAGAAATTAGAAAAAAATGAATAATTTCTAAAAATAGATAATCAATTTTGATGATCTATTTTTTTTTTAGAAATTTCTAACATTGTTATCTATTTTTAGTGTAGCGGCAACAAAAAATCTTTAAAAGAACATGATTATCATATATAGTGATATTCAATTTTTTTTTATTATTATAAAACTAAAAAAAAAATAAAATAACTTTTATTATAAAAATAAAAAAAAACTAAAAAAAAGATAACATAATATACATATATATAAGAACAGTTGATAGTTTATTATATAAAACAATTGCCTTATTTGTAATCCTTTGGTCAAGATTGACAAGAGTCTTTATAATAAACTGAACACAAACAAGACTTTTTATTATAAAAACTGAACACAGACTTTTCATCCATTTATAACATAACATTAATTATTTGCAACAAAAAAATCTGATTTAAAAAAACTATTATCTGTAGTAGAAATTAGGAATTATTATTAAAAATGAGGAAAATACATTATCACCACAAATATTATGATAATACTTTATTTATAATTAGTAAAATTTGAATTAGAACCACTTGGTGTCATTTCTGCCATAATTTCTTGGAATTATTCATAAGATTGTTTAAATCAGTTTAATGAAATTAATTTAGATTAATTATTTTAACTTTATTTTTTATGATCAATAATTTAATTATTTTTATTCATTTATTACTAATGGATTCATAGGACCAATTGTATCAGCATTATTTGCAGGAAAAGGAATTTTGGTCAAATGTTCAGAGCAAGTTGCTTGATCAATGAAATATTTTAGTGATATTATAAAGAAATGTTTAATGCAATGTAGTCATGATCCTGATTTTATTGATTTGGATTTCTTTGATTGTAGGAAATCATTGGTTCAAAGTGGACTTGATGGAATTGAAGTTTTATTATCGTCATATAATATATAATATTATATCATTATTATTAATTGCATTACTTATTATTCATCCTTCATTCTTACAAGTTAGGAAAAAAAATCATGCAATCTGCATTAACACCTTTTATTTTAGAATCAGGTGGTAAAGATAGTGCGATAATTCGTCATGATGCTAAATTAGATCAGACAATTATTTTACGTTGAGTTTTTCAAAATTCTGAACAGAATTGTATTGGATTTAAAAGAATTATTGTACATGAAAAAATACATGATGAACTAGTGAAAAGAGTTCTTAATAATATTAAATTAATGAGAGTTGGATGTTCATTAAATGATGAAGATAAAGTTGACATTGGAGCCATTACCACGAGTGATCATGTATTTTTTTTGTTAGAATTTATTTTATTATTATTATAAAATTATTTTATTAATGGTTTTATTTATTGTTATATTTATATTTTAGAATGAAAAGATCTATCACAAGGTGCAATACTTCCACACGGTGGACACGTTCATAATCATCCAAATTATCCAAAAGCTCAATATTATACACCAACACTTTTAACAATGTAATTTCACAAATGGAAATAGCTAAAACTGAAAATTTTGCGTCTGTAATAGTGATAATGAAATTTTAAGTGATGAAAAACTATTGAAATAGCAAATAGTACACTTTATCGATCGGGTAATTCTGATCAAAATAAAAATATTGATAACGAAAAAATTAAGGTGTTGGAATGATTAATTTGAATGATTTTGGTGATAGTTATTTGTGTAATTTGCCATTTAGTGATGTTTGAAATTCAGGATTTGGAGAGTAAGCATTATTATTATTTTCATTGTTATTCTTATTATGCATATTTATAATATTCTTCGATATGATACCTAGATTCGCCGTGTGTAGGATTGAGATCATGATGCTTATTGAAATCAATAACATTTGATCGTTTCTCATCAATTATTCAAACAAAAATATCTCAACTATTAACTTATCCTATTTCAACTAATGGATCAATATTTGTAAATAATTTGATTAAAGCGATTTATGAGAATAATTTGTTGAACAGAATTAAAGCTATTTTGGAACTAATCAAGGTTTCAATTAGAAAGTAGTTATTTATTCATTAAATCACTTATTGTTTACATTATTCAATTATATTTTAGTTTTATTAATTATTTAGTAAATGTAAGATTTTAATGATTTTTCGGGGGGTTTCAGAAACTAGTATAATACGATTACGAATTTTAACATAGTACGATTAGAATTATCCTAGTATGTTTTAATTATACTATTTTATTAAAGACGCGTTTATAATAAAGTTTAGGCTTATGAATAAGTTACAGATTAGGATTAGGGTCAAGGATAGGTTAAGTTTAAGGTTAGTGTTATTTAGGATTGCCTATTACTATATTTTATCGATTGATAATTGATAATCGTTTTCATTAAACAATCATGTTGTAAATTAGAAGTTTAATAATATGATATATTTAATTTCATAAAAATACAGTTATTTATTCACAAAAAAGAATATAAAATGATGATTTATACATTAATATTACTAATATTAAAATTTTTTCATTTGCTTTTAAAAACATAAGTGAATTCTCTGTTTCATCATTAAACATCAATTCCTCAATCCATTTTTCTAATGTATAAAAAATCATTTCAGCATTTGGACGCTCGGTTGGATCTTTGTGCCAACATTTTTCCATTAATTCTACATAACATTGAGGTGTGTCTCTATTACTTTTTGGTCGAAGTCCATTAAAAATATCAGCTGCTAATTCTGAATATGAATCATATGCTCTAATAGCAAATGGTATTTTTCCTGTTGAAATTATTCACATAATAATTCCAACACTATAAATGTCTGAAGCTTGTGTATATTGATTTTTATGTAATACTTCGGGTGCAATATATGGCAATATACCATATGCTCCAGATGATTTGATTTCATTTGCAAATCTGCATAATCCCAAATCTCCTAATCTTATGAATTTGTATTTTGAATTGTTATATACTTCATTTATCATAAGGTTGCCAGGATGAAGATC